CCTTGAGGCTTTAGACATGTATAATGCACACACCTACAAGGAAAAAAAACACACTGACATTCAAACTGAATGAATGAGAAAACAGACATCTGCAGGTGTATCTGGTGGACAGCTCTCACACGGCAGGGCAGAACTGAGCGCAGCTGAAGAGCAGAGTCTGGGACCAGAGTACAGCATTGTTACAAAAGACTGCAAGACTTTCGTTTTACCTTTAAAAAGGGCAGATTTAGAAGTTTTGGTAAGCAAGATGAAATTGGCTTCAATAGGTTTCCACATTTAGCACAGTACAGATCTTTCCAGTTTCTTCATCAGCAAGTGCTGGAAGCCAGCACATCTCAATCAAGACTTTTAAAAGCTACTTAGGCAGGGCCAGTTTTAGAAACCGCTTCCCTGCAGCTTTTGGTATACTTGGCAAGAGCCAATTCCCAAGGCTTTCTGTAGACATCTCCATCCCAAAGGATGGAAGCTGTTAAGAGGCTCCAGGAGCATTGAGATTTGTTCGGATCTCCCCCAAACCTGCACTTTATCATGAGCTGCCCCAACCCTCAGCCCCAGCACCTCCCATCCCAATGGATACTTGTTCTGCCTCACTAGGGAACTTTGGGGAAAAAAGACAGGGAGGGGAAGATGGGAGCTGGAGTGACTGAAGTTGCTGGCAGAACATTTTTTAGAAGTAGAAGTCAGAGGAATAGCTGGCAGAGAGTGAAATCAGATCTGCCTTTCTCTTCAATATCCCCTTTTTAGGGGGATTGCTCTTGAAAACACCCAGGACAACCCCAAAAGCAGGAGCTGACCTTGCTCTGCGAGCAAGCTGTGTCACACCACCTTTTCATGCACGGTGTGTCCCTCTCCAGCTACCCTGCTGCTACAGGGGTGGGGGGGTGGCAACATCTCCCCTCCCCAGGGTGAAAATTAGTAGTTGCAAGCAGCACCCCCACCTCCCCAAGCTGATCAGGGGCTTGGTCAGGGCCTAGTACGCTGTGGAGGGGAGTGAGTGCTAAAATGCTCAGACCACTCAAGAGTGCTCCCTGCTCTGCTCCCATGGGTGAGAAACCTAATCAGAGACCTGGGGCAGCCCCACGGAGCCTACCCAAGGATGGCTGCAGCCACATGGCAATGAGAAGCTAACAGATGTGCTAACAACCTTTGCCCAAGCCTAGCTACAGGACTGGAAACCCATTAAGGGTCTAATATCTGCCCCTACACTCCTAGAAGCTGCAGGGAATCTGAATCTTTCACTCTTTAGCCATGAAAGAGAAAGCCAGCCTTTGTGGAAACCCGCAGCCATTTTCATCTGCTCCAGAACAGTTGAAAGTCTTAGCTGCATCTGGTTTTAGAATATCTCAGCATGGCTTTGGATTTAGGCTGTTACCAAATCTAAGAGCAAAAAACAAAGCCTTTAAAGTATCCAAGCAGTCACAGGAAAAACACCAACATGGAAGGAGTGAGGCAACACCACTCCTGGCTAGGCAACACAGCACCCTATCGAATGGTTCAGCCTCTACTGAAAGATATCCAGTGCAAGGCTCTCCTCTCAAGGGCACATTGTCCACTTCACTACAAACAGGGTTGTCCTATAAACCACTAGAATTATTTTTCTTTTAAAAAAACCCAAACCAAACCAAATTCCCAGCCAAGTACAAGCATCCAGGCTGGGAGAGAGGAGGGAGAATATGTGCAAGGAGACAGCGCAGGACACAAGAGGCATTTGGAAGAAAACAGCCTGCACTTGGCTGGCAAACCCTACAAGTCTTATTTATGCTCAGCTCTTGGCAAGCTCTGCAGAAGTAGGGACTGCAGGATTTTGGATCAGAGCTTTGTTCCCTGTGACTCGATTCTTACTCATTAGCTGGCTATAAACAGAGTTAAACAAACCAGTCTGCTCTCACCACTCAGTATTTCTATAAAGAGTCTGAATTCCTATAGATGCCACAGATCCATCTGTGGATCTCAAAGCACTTGACAAGTTGAATTTAGCCTCACAACACCCCAGTGAGGTAGGTATGACAGTGGTCCCCTGATTTTGCATGGAGAGGGGAAACAAGAAAAACCTGAAATATAAAATGTCATTAAAAAAAAGGGGAATACTCAGGAGTTCCGATTCCCCTTGAAGTACATCCTCACCCCTAAGCAGGATACATCTCTGAACAGACCATCTGAGAAACCAAGTCCTCTCCTTCAGATTTCATCAGGCAAAGCATTCACGCTGCTGACACAGGGAAGAGTGTTTAATATAGGAGCTGGCCCCCATTGACAGCAGGCAGAAAAGGCAGCACTGAACCACAGCACAAGGATGATGGAGACCCAGAGCGAGCAGACATAACTTCTGTCTGGTTCTCCATGTGTTCAAGGATTTAATGCAATTAAGACATGAGTTTCCTGAGCAGATACTGTCAGACAACCTCCCTCGTGGGGGAGGGAAAAGGAAAGGGGAAGGAAATCCTGGGAAAGTAAGAAAGTTTTGCAGAGGTGCCTGAGACAAGGTGCTCTCACACACAGGGCACACCCAAGCCTCCAGCAAGGTGGTTCTTGTTCTGGCTTCACAGAGCTGAGCCAATTCAGCCACAGGCAGTAGCCTCCACACAGTCCCAAGCACTCCATAGTCTCTCAAGCTACTCCCAGTCTCTCCCACCTTGCTGTTTATGCACATCATAAGAGCCAGATACACGCACCTTTAAGAGAGCCAAGTGTAAGATACTGTATGCCCCTCTTCCTTTTTTTTTTTTTTTTCTTCTTTTTAAGGAGGGAATAAGATAATTCTTTTTTTTTTTTTTCAAAATAAAATACTGCAAAGGCCACAGTCAATTAAGAAGTCCCTATACAGACTACCAGAAAGCCTGACCTAGAAAGAAATCCAAACACTAATTTTAGAGAAGGGAAAACTCTACCTACTTCCCATCTTTTAAGGGACGTGGGCCTGATCCCATCAGGTACCGTGCCATCTAGTTTCTTCACAACCACATCTGGCACGTTACATGGAGAAGACAGGATCCAGATGACTATCACACACTTGTAAGAAAGGTACAGGAGACTGCAGGTGTCACTTGGATGGGGAATCACAACTTTGGACCCTTGCTCACCTGGGTCCTCCTTTAATCCTAAAAGGACTATCTACAGGTACTGTTGGACATGCAGCTCCACTGCTGCTGAAGCTGGAAGAGGCTGGACCCCTCTGCCCTGTCCCCAGCACCCCTGCTTAAGTGGGCTGCTCCCTCCCACTGCTTTGTGGTGGGCAGTGGCCAGCCCACACCAGCCATGCCATGCAGGACCAGCAGAGCCCCACTCATCGCCAGGCCACCTTGTGCTGGTGGGAGCATGGCGGCAGCCCCACAAGCTGTTGGAGGAGCTCAGGGAAGGCCAAAGGAGACAGGAGGGGCTGTCATAGCCCCCCTCAGAAGAAGATGCATCCTGGCAATGAAAGGCACTGGCTTATGTACCTCGCTGAACCGGGGCCCTCTTTGTTAAGACATCCACATGGAAGGCAAGTCAGATCCTCATAGAGATATCTGCACGGCAGAAGACTGGGCAGAATGAACCAAGCGTTTGCATTCACGTGCACAAATCCACTGCCACAGAGCTGAGAGGGGTCTCGGAGGGACCTGACTGAAGGCAGGTCACTGCCAGCCTCGGAGCTGGCTCCTGAGTCACACAATGCCCTGTGCCAGCAATCGGACTTCAGACACCCCTTTAGGCTCATCGTTAAGAGCAAACCTTTCAAAACTGCAAATCTCAGACAAAAAAAGTCACGTGTGAAAGCTGCGCTGACGGGCAAAGGCAGTGTTACAAACCAAACTGCAAGAGCTACACATCTCTCACAGGAGCAGATCCCTGCATTGAGAAGAAACTCCCACAGTACAGGAAGGCCAAGAAAGGCAGGCAGATTTTCAACATTCACATACAGTTTGGTATTTCTTAGTTACAGCTGAAGGCGTACGGTGGGGAAGGACATGCTGCAGTGTTTCCAGAGCACAGCAGTTCTCCAAAGCAAGTGCATGTGGCAGAGGTCAGCCCTTCCCTGGCTGCACCCTCCTTCCCCCTCCAAGAGGCTGTCAGATACAGGGAGGGTCTGTGATTTATCTCAGGAGGAGCCAGCTACTTACCTGCCCTGCCCCAGTGCAAATACGCAGCCTTTGCAGGTGCAAAAGGAAGCAGCGGCAGGTGGACCCTGAGGGGACTGTGGCTGGAGAAACACAGTTAGAAAATCAGACAGAAGGGGACAGAAACAGGGAACCTTGGGAGTGCCTGACAAAGATGCAGGCAACAGGACAGAAGGAAGCAGGTGAGAGATAACAGTGATCCATGTCACGCAGAGCAGTTTCACTAACAAGCACTGGTACAAAAATTAAAAAAAAAAAATAAAAAAATAAAAATTGAAGAGCTACAAGATGGGCTGACAAGCAACTTCAGAGTGCTCAAAACCATCCCACTATGCTCGTACAGCACTGACACAAAAGGGCACGTGGACAGGAGAAAAAGAATACAAGTCTCCAGACAAGGTGGCTTACAGAGGCAGCCGTCTCACACTCACCCCTCCCCAAGTGCCCAGGGACTCCCACGCGAGCAGGTTTCCATAGCTGAGAGGTGAGCAATGCGCTCTCGGAAACAGCTACAGGTAGCAAAAGCAGAGATATAAAAGCAGAGGCGTGTGCACGGTGTAAGGCAGCACTCCAACAAAAATACCAGTGTTGCAATTGTGCAGAGAAACAGAGAGCGTGAGATTTACAGTATGCCTGGAAAGGGAGGGAAAAAGGGAAAAAAAAAATCTGTTCTGTCTCCAAGGCTGAGCTAACCGAGCCAAGTCACCCTGTTGCCTCTTAAGATATTTCTTTCTAGATAAGATAGCCCACCTCCCCCCCTCCCCTTTCCAAATAAAGTGCAGATGGTCAAATATTACTGGTCCATCATCTGCCAGTTTCAGTCAGCATTGGGGAAATTAAACCCAAAAGCACAATATTGAGGAAAAAAAAAAAAATCCCCAAACAACCCACCCTCGAAATCCCTTAGACTGAAGTCTCAGACTGTAAGCAGAGGACAAATTTATGAGATTTAGGGTCTATGAACTCTTCTGAGAGTTTGATGAAGGGGATTTTCTTCACATTAACAACAAGGCTGAAGTCCAAGCACTTGAGGACAAAAACAATGCCGTCTTGTAACCCGCTTGTGACCGCTTCCTCACTGACAAGCGTCCACTGCTTGGAGAACCAGCGATCCCTGTCGTACTGGAGGGTTGGGCCTGGGTTGAGGTAACGCTCCAGGAATGCCTGACGAGAGAGGGACATGCGTTAGTGCCAGCCCCACAACCTGCTCTGCATCAATGCTCTCTTCCCAGCCCCAGATACAGCTCCGCGAGCACAGGCTTGCCACGCTGCAAACTGTTCCAGTTTCCATGCTTCAAGGAAACATCCTCTCCCCAGTCCCTCCCAGCTTTTCAGACCCCAGGAGCACACACAACCACCAGGAGACCCTCTTTCAGTCCATCCCAGCAAGCTTGTAAATTTATAGCCCAAACTTCTGCTGTCAGTACTGCCATCCAGCAGCAGTTCAGTAGAGCAGAGGTCATTTCTCCCCTACCAGCCCCATAACCCATCCCAAAACGGCAGTCCCAGACAGGCAGATGGGGTAGCTGGCCCTCCCTTCTTCACACCAAGCTAAGGTGGAAAGCAGAGGTTTCCACATTTGCAGTGTGACTGAGGCTGCAAAACCAAAAGCAGAACAGGGAAGGCTGTTTGATGTCACTTGTGGTTTGAAGTCTCCTTTGCAATCTTAATGGCAGCAGAACTCCCCCTTTACACACCTGGGCCAGGTCCCAGGTGGATCCCAGTGGGAGGGTGCTAAGCCCCATCTCAACAGTGTTTCTGCTCTTAGTGCAAGTCCTGGGTAAATGCCCAGGAGTAGATTCTTGCATTTCTAACCCTTCTCAAGGATTATGGGGTGTTTTTTAGAGGGCAAGGTGGAGAGTGGGAGGGAGATCATGTGACCTGTTTCCCTCATCATTCAGTCCCACTCTGTGTCTGCAAGTCAACAGTCACAGTCAGGGTGTGAAGCAGCAAACTGACATTTGCCCAAGCAGCCCATGAATTAGAAACACTGCCAGACAGACAGGGATTTAGGTGATAATTAGAAGCAGTCCAAAATGCAGCACTGCACAGGGAACAAAAAAACCCCCAATAACAGTCCTTTGCAGGTTGTCACCTACAACTTGCTGCTACCGTGAGCCAGCTGGGAGAACTCCCTGTGACTCAAGGCCACAGTCTTAGACGCTTCTCTGGTACTCCCTTTGCTAAACTAGATACAGAATCATAGAATGGTCTGGGTTGGAAAGGACCTTAAAGATCATCTAGTTCCAACCCCCCTGCCACGAGCAGGGACACCTTCCACTAGACCAGATTGCTCAAAGCCTCATCCAACCTGGCCTTAAACACTTCCAGGGAGGGAGCAGCCATAACTTTTCTGGGCAACCTGTGCCAGTGTCTGACCACCCTCACAGGAAAGAATTTCTTCCTAATATCTCATCTAAACCTCCCCTCTTCCAGTTTATAACCATTACCCCTTGTTCTGTCACTCCCTGCCCTTGTCAAAAGTCCCTCCCCAGCCCCTGTAGCACCTCCCTCGACCTGCTGGTCACGCTTCTCTTGATGCAGCCCAGGATACAGTTGGCCTTATCTCACAGGTACTTTCAGATAAGAAGAGACAGAAGATGCTGTACAGGAAACACTAATTCCCTTTCAGACCTGATGCAATCTACAATGTGCTGATCATATCACAGACAGCAACTATGAAAACATCCACTCACCTCCCCTGACCATTTTCTGTTCTGTGTGCACACGCAGATGCGCCATGCCTTTCTCCCTCCTTCCTGCACCAACATCAGAGAAAGCATTACCTTTGGTGTCATGTTATTGGTGATGCAGAAGGACAAGTGTTGCAAGATGCTCTCCATGCTGTGGTACTGTTGCTGGCGGGTGGTGCGAAGATACTTCTGCAGAGCTCTTGCCATGGAGGGGAAGATTGCCTGGGCTGCTTCTCGGGGGTCCATCATCTCTCCTGGAGCTTTCTGCTGTTCCTCTGCCTGGAGGCGTTTGATGTGAGTGAAAGCCTCCTCTACTGCAACCACAAGCCTGCAGAAGGAAAATCAGGACAGCAAGAGTCACAAGAAGAGAGGTAGGATGGGTTTGTGGTTAAGGCAGAGCCTGGGAGTCAGGATTTACAAGCTCCTATTTCCATCTCTGGCACTGACTCACTGCCTGCCATCAGACAATTTACATAAAGTCTTTTCTACTGACAGTCTGAGGGGTAGACAGCAGCTATTCTTTCCTTGCACAAGCCATCCAGCAACTGAGGGTCATAAAACCAGGATTAAGACTTTAAAAGCCTCAGTGTCATACTTGATTCTGCCAACAAAGCATAAACATCAGTTACACGACTCAAACAAGACACAGCTGCCCTTGTGTTTAATGCATGTCTTTGGAAACAACAGTTCCAGCATACAGTACTGCATCGCGAAGCTTAAGGGCGGGTGAGGAGTCAGGAAGAGGCTGGCTATAAACTAGCATAGCCCAGGATACAGTCCGCTCTGATTTATACCAACTGGGTACAGACCTTGTGCTGCTGGATGACTGCTCTGCACCCCTTCACTGAACAGTGTCTTCACTCCCAGCACTGCAGCTAGAGACATCCTCTGCAAACCATTCCTGTGTTGGCACAGGTGAGCAAACACCAAGACCATGCCATAAAAAGGCAAAGAGATGCCAAACGACACTTACAGCTTAGCCCAGTACTAAGTAACAAGTGAGGGGCCACACCAGAGTGAGGAAAAAGCAACGATAATGGAAGAGTCACCTAAGAAAACTCTTTTGCCCTTCCAGATAAGACTTGTTTCACACTAGATTTCCACTCAAGTCACCAGCTGCTGTCCACACTGCCCTCAGTACTCAAAGCATCTTGAAGCCAGGGGAAGCTGCCTCACAACAAGCAGAGGTATAGCCTACCACATTCAGACTATATACCAGAGCCCAAGAAGCCCTGATCCTTGCCCATTTTGTTTCATTTAATTTGGGAGAGGTAAGGGTGGAAATCAGTTTCTAATCCCTTCACATCTTTTTGTTGCAGCTCTGACCTTTCTCTTTTGAAACATCTGGCCTGGTCTTCTAGTGACTGATGGTTTTCCTCTGACTAAGCAGCTGTTCTAACCAAACTTGGCAAGTAAGGGAGATATGCCTGGGCTGGGATGCCACACTGCAGGGAAAGGAAAGTTTAAGTTCCTATTGCTCCAAGGCTGGAAGAGAACTCAAAAGAAAGTGGCTACAGAGCACAGGTCAGACCAAAGCAGGCTATGAGGGGACAGCGTGCCAGCACTTTCCCAATGAAACAAACTGCCAAAAGAAAACACAAAACAAGCCAGCTCCTTCCAGTTACGGCACATTCCACCCAAAGACAGCTCAGTTCAGGGGTGCCTGTCTGACAGCAACTTGCCTCAAACTGTTAGGTATGTTAACTACAAACTGTAATTAGGCTCCAGAGCAAACAGAGGCACTATCTCAGGTCGCCTCAACAAAGCATCAACTCTGCAGCTTAAGTGTGACTGGCAGAAAACACACCTATGTTCCAAAATAAAACACAACCTCTTCTGGTCATGTCTTTCCTCCCTGACTCATTGAAAAGGGCAGTCATGCTGCTCCTTTTAGTTGACTGCAAACACAAATATTTTCATTGCCCAAGAACAGGCAACACCAAGTGCTCCACCGATCCTGCCCCTGGATTACTTGAGCTGAGACGACAAGCTTGGGCATGGGGGAAATAATGGGATTTCCTACAGCAAGTAACTACAGATTTGTCAAGTACTGGACTGTTCCCTAATCCATGACATCGCATTAGCTTATCTGGCATAATAAACATGAGCTCTGCTTTATGCATGTTCTTCAGATAATTCCAGTGGTAAACTGTCACCATCCCTCGTGCATCTGGCTTTCATACTCTTCTCTGCTGCGACGCATTTACAGCCAACCCCCAGTCCTTAATCATGGGTCCCTCCCTCTCGTCAGGCTTGGTGAGCCTCACACAACTGAGCCTCGCAGCACTGAGGAGCAGCACTGGGAAAGGGACAGCTTTACCTCGCACGGCGTTTTTTCACTCGGCGCTCGTGGTCGGCCTCTTCGTAGTAGAGCTCGTTGTGACTCGAGTCCCTGCGACGGGCTGCGGCTGCAATCATGGCACGGGACTGCCCCGAAGCGTTGTTACCTGGGCCTTCAAGAGGTGAGGATGAGCGAAAAGGAGACAAGAAAGGTGGTGTTATTGCCACAGGACTGGGGCTGGGACAGACCAGCATCCACCCCAGAGCATCTGTCACAAGTGCTCTGTGGCTCCAGCCTTCCCAGCCAAGGCTGTAAACCCTTCCCCAGTCCTCAGGAGCTCTGACAGAAACCCTGCTAGACAGCACAGGCTTGCAGAGGGGGCTTTGGCTTGTGGACACGGGAAGTTAGTTGGGATGAAGGATCTCACGCAACGTACACAAAGGCAGAGGTGAGGTGCACATGCCAAGGATGCAACTTACCACCCATTATATATGTTTTCAGTTTGAAGGCAAGGGCAGCTGGAACACATCACATTTCAGCAACAAGACAGTGTGAGAGCACAAGAAGTGAGGAGTTGAAAAGAGGAGAAAGACAAACACAAGAACATCATGAGACATGGAGATGAATGAGCAAAAGCCAAACTCCAGTTACACGCAGGGAGGAAAAAAAACAGGAAGCAGAGGCATCATGGTCACCTCTAGACAAAGCACAGGGTTTTCCAGAAGGGCAGACGCTGTCAGAGCAGCAGTCCTGCAACAGGGCAGGCTGGGGTCTGTATGTATAGCAGCTCCTCAAGACTCTCAGAGTAGCACCTGCCATTAGCACTTCTGTTGCTGGTAACAGATCCTACACAGCTACAGGAACAGGGGAGCTGCAGTCTACTGGGTAACACCCGGTCAAGTGACAAAGCCATCTACTACAGGACCTTAACTAGTGACCTTAAAATGCAGTAGCAGGTTCTGCAGCTCCCCCATGAAGCTCATGGCTCTGGCTGTTTGGGCAGAGAAGGGAAATATTGCCCCTGAAGAGTTTACCAATCCTTCTACCTAGACAGAGGATAGAGGTGGGTCTATCCAGAGGGAGAAAGGAGAAGTCTAGGACTGCCTCCAAACCACCATGAGCTGTTTTTCTGACTAACTGCTCTGAAAGCCCACACTCTCAACTGGCAGTGGTTAAGGCCAATCAATTGCACAGACATGCTTGAAAATGTTCTGCTCATGCAAGGGCAACTCTTTAATTTTTTCCTAAAAAGCAAAGACCAGATTCCAAGACAGAAGCCTGAAGCTCAGCAGTGGGAAAGACAAGCATTTACACAGACAGCTTCTTAAGAGTCTAAACACTTCAGACTTTGTTTGACAGCCCTGAAATGGAGGATATGACTCAAGGGAGATACTAGCTCCCAAATTTGGGTTAGAACTGTGATTTGCCTCGTTTACTATGCCTGGCGATGAAAATCCTGGTTTTGAAGGTGAGCCTCCCCACTCTGTGTAAGAGAGATTACAGCAAGATGTTTCTCTTTCCTGGCTGCTCCAGGATCAAATACAAAAGCTGCCAACAAATTAGGCTGCCTTAATAGCATTACTGTCTTTTCACATGGAGGGTGTAAGAGACTGTCAGGACGCCAAGGTAAGCTGCAGCCAGAACTACACTCTGCTTTGTAAAATGGATGGTAATCTTCTTAAGGACATGCCTCTAAGCCTGAGATTTCCACGTTCACAAAGGCAGTGGCATTGCACAAGGAACAGCCCACGGAATTGGTACTGCCCTGGAAGGGAAGGCATGAGTTTTCAGGCCTTGGCAGGCTCATGAGTTCAACGCTTGGAAAGGTCTGCCCACCACATCTGGAGCTTGTTTCTGGTTCCTTCTCTTCCAATAAAGTTTTGTGATCTAGCAGCTCCTAAGCTACTAATGCTACCAGTTTTTCCTCTGAGCTTGGGAGTCCCAACATCCCAGCAGGTGCTGCAGGAACAGAGCTCCTGCCACCTCCTGAAGAGATGCTGCAGTGCAGGAGAAGACAAACCAGCTAGTAACAAGAACGGCATCCTGCAGCCAGCCTGGCGAGCCGTGGGGTTTGAATGGTGTGCAGACACCTGTGGGATTGGGAAGCTTTCATTTTCCACACACCCTGCCTCATCGAGACTGAGCAGCTGGAATGAAAGATTTCACCTCTAGAAAAGTGCAGAGCAAGTCTGTTTGCTCCCCCTCTCCAGCTCAACTCATTCTCTCCCACCTGACAGCTTCTTCACTCCAGGCAGCAGGGGATACACAATGACCAAGCCTGTCCCTCTCCCTGCCCCCTGCTTCCTTTCACCCTTCCTCCGTCAAGATGCAGGCATCTCACTATAATTATCTAAACCTCCAATTAATTTTATGGACTCCAGAGTGCTGTTTCAGGTTTGGGAAAACATCTAAAATAAAATCTTTAAAACTTCTAAAGTAAAAAAAAAAAGAAAAAAAAAGAAAAAAGCATAAGGCACTGAAACTGCTGAATACAAAACAATCACATCTCATGTTTTTCCACGTGACAGACATGCTTCATATTTCAGTCTCCACACCCTGCACGCAGAACCATCTTGCCCAGTTAAGTCCCTTCAGTTCCTTCTCCCTTCCAGCTCTCAAAGCCTTCCAACACTAACCTACTCACAGGCAGGGTGTATCTTACCACATCTTGTCACATAACCTGTCACATATGTCCTTCACCATAAAAGCTTCCTTACACAACTTCAGTTCTTCCATCAGAGGAATGCATGCTTTTATAAAGGCCGTGATGGTTGGGCACACCCTGATTATCAAGCCTATCTTTCACTGACAGGGATTAAGAGTATCAAATGATTAAGTCTAGTTTTCACTGCTTTGAGCATCCACAGGTATCCACCCAGCCATCCTCCCACAGACCTCTTTAAAACCCAAAAGTTTGAGACAGGTTTGTAGAACAATAGCAAAGCTTGAGGGGGATAGTTATCTGTCCCTGAATTTCCATGAACTGCTTAGTGTCGAGATGACTTGGGAGCATGGCCACACATAAGCCAGGCATTGATAATTTACTGCTAAGGCTGTTGCTTCTTCCCACATCATCCTTTGCTTTCCTGAAGGCTGCCTGTGGAGGTGACACAGTAAACAACTGAGGAAATAATTTAGGTTAAAAGTTGTGTTTATTGTACTAGCACAACCAAGGAGATGACCCAAGGGTGACAAAAAGCAGAGGCTGCCTAAAACAAGCAGTGGTGCCGAAAAGTGCTTGTCAAGCCACGTAATAATTAAGCCTGACCCAAGACTTGGCTGTTTCACCTGGCAAAGACAAAAGCCTTATTATGGGGTAAACACATCTGGAAAGTAATCTGGAACAGGCAAACTCAGCACTGTTAGGAAGATTTCCAGCAAGAGACAAGGATTTGGCAAAGCAAAAAGGTGAGAATGTGTGCATAACAAAGCATAAAGCCAACCCAGCCCTTCCCCATCCCACCCAGTCTCAGAGACTACATTTCACCTCACCTACCATCAACATTGTAGACTTTCAGACCAGCCATATGCTTGGCTGCACGGGATTTGGAGGCTGTTAACAAGGCTGGATTGTAGACTGTGAAATCTTTGTAGTAGTTTTCCAGAACCACCAGTGCAGCTCGCTGGATGCTAGGGAAAAAAGAAAAAAAAAAATCAAAACAAGATAAAAACCCTTAAAATGCAAAAGTTCTTTTGTTTCCTTGGAAAAAAAAAAATAGCCACGTTATTTGGAGCAGGTTGTCACGCCCACAGCATTATGCAATATGCAGAATACCAGTTACTCTGTCTAGAACCTACAATTTCATCTGAGAAACAAGATAAATGTGTCTGCCCTCACCTCAGTAAGTGGAGGATAGAAAATCCCTAAACAAGGGCAGCACAAACTGAAGCACTAGGCTGCCTGTAGCATGGGGAATCATAGAATCGTAGGATCAGAAATGCAGAACAAGAGCTCAGCGGCAGGGCAACTGCCAGGCAGAGACCTTGCCCAGGCTGAACATCTGAGCATCATGCTGGTTTTGCTGTAGTTGGCCAGCCTGGATGGAGGGACAGGCTCAGGATGGATGCTTTTCCCTTTGAGTCATGTTCAGCCACACCTTGAAGCTCCTCAGATCTCCTCCATCCCAACACTGACAAGAGCCCCAATCTCTTCAGCTTTCACAGCAAGATAAGATCGCTGCCTGAGGAGTACAGCTGCTGAAGAAGGGATTACCTCAGTACTGCTTCTTAAATCCCAGGTGAGGGACAGAACAGGGAGCTGCCACACTCCCTCCCTCCCTCCCTCCCTTTGAAGGGATGTCTCTCCACAAAACAATGACACACGGGAGCAAAACAGCACACGCGCCAGCAGCAGGAAAGGCTCAACCCAGAGGTATCTTCCTTTGCAATTATTTCAACAACAGAGAGGTGTCTGTAGGCACTGCTACTAACAAATAGGACAGTATTTCAAAACAAGCTAGAGCGATGGTGTTTTAAAAAAAAAAAAAGCCAACACATACGCAGGATCTAGGACGTAGCTCTGGCTCTGTGCCCCAAGCACAGTGTCCGGCTGGCCGTAGTATTCTCAGCAATGCACCAAGATCACCAATTCAGTCAGCTGGAGTTTGCCAAGAACCCACACTTAATTTCATTCTGAACCCACAAAAATTATAAGGGAACTGCCAACACATTTGTTGCCAGTTAATTGTGAAGTTCACACTTACCAACAAAGCCTCTTCTAAAGAAAGCAACCAAGTATTCTCACACATGTTACAACATAGGAAGAAAACATTACAAGGATGGTAACGTGGGAAAGTAAGACATGAACAAATTAAGACCTAAATTCAATTCTCAGCACTACCACCAATTCAATGCACACTCCCAGAGGAGCAATTTAATTTTTCCTGTGCCTTGTGCTAATATTAAACTTCTGCATCACACCCCAGTAATCTAAACACACACACACCCTCTGCCATCCTCATTCTCCAGCCGCCCTCCCCTCCACTGATCAGTGAATTAAGCATAGAAGCCAGCCCATTCACCAGATTCTGAGCAAGAACAAACCCAGACTTGTTCACTGTGTACCTTCATCAGTCAGTATTATGGTACAGCGCCATATATTTCATTAGCTGTGTACCTTTAAGATGATGAATTTAGCTTCTGAAGTAAATTCCATCTTTAGGACCTTTTGGTGGGGCTTTTCGTATCTAGCTAGAGCATCTTAAAGCAGTTTTATTTTTCAGGTGCCAGTCCTTCATATTTCCTCGTATCAGGTTTGTTAAAAGCAACTTCGTTTAAGCACTCAGCTACTGATATGAAATAAAAAGCCACTATTGAATCAAGGAACCAATCTTCCTTTAATGAAGCTGTACAGACTGACCCATTGCCCACACACACATGTAGGTGCTGACACAGAACAAGTGAAAGACAGTTTATTTCTCTGTGACAAACTTCTGATTTCTATTGTGAATTTGCTGCAGCTTAAAAACAAAATTTCATAAAAGTCATGCAGCAGCAGCATATATCCCCCCTTCTGACTTCATTCAAACACAACTGAGTTTTTCCATGTTTGCTTCCCAGGAAGGTAAAACTCCAGAGAGTTTCATCTCAAAATGCAGTATTTGGAAAACTAGGATCGACTAAAAACAAGAAGATAAAAATGAACAGAGTTATCCTTTGCTAATACACTGCACTCATTTCAGGCAGCATTGGGAATTCCATCCCAGCAGTGCTCCATTGACCAACTAGCTCTGTTAGGACAAAGCACAATGCACCACAGGAGAAAAATTATTTATTTTAATACATACACATGTTATCATCAGGATGTCAGCTTTCCCCAACCACTACCCCTTCCATCCTCTCACTAAGTAACTTATCCCACCAATTCACTGGCACACGCACCCAAAATTCTAACACAAAAAAGCTTTTACGTTGCAACACGCAACCATCGTTACCCTGAAAATTAAAGCCCAGCTATTTTTTGCTGATGCAAATCCAGTACAGGCTCAGTCCCATGTGTGATATACCCCGATCATATAGAGGGTCTGCTCTCTAGGGAGAGAACTGTAATTAAACATCAGTTTCCTAAATTTCTACCAGCCCATTTCTCTCTCCCATGTAGTCCACCCTAAGCATAGCAGGTTAGGAAGAGAGCTGGGACTGCAACTCTTCAAATTCTCTTTTAAAGGCAAACAACAACAAAAAAAAAGAATTAAAGAGAAGATGCTGTGGACAAGAAAATTAGGAGGGTCACAGTAATTAGCAAGAGCAAGACAGCAGCTGAATCAGAGCCTCCTGGGCTGTGTTGCTCAAGCTCTTCGCCCACATCAAGGGGAAGCCTCACCCTATGCAGCGCAGGACATCCAGCCCTGCCTGACGCCGGAGCTGCAAAGCAACAAGAACCCCCTCGAACAGGCACAGCCATCACAAGCCCAGCAGAAAGGGACCCAATGCACTTGTGCAACACAATGTATAAGGAGAAGTGTAACCACAAGCAAATAAGCATCCAGAGCAGTGAGTAGGAGTCAAGCAAAACACTAAGGAAACCTGCTGTCTCACAAGAAAAATTCAGTTTTTCAGAGACTTTCCACTGCAGGGCAGACCTTCAGCTGCCTTGAGAGCAAGGTGAAGTGGCTGCAGCAAATCTCCTTTCCACCCACACGCCAGCTCCGATGGGAATGGAAACTGGCAGCCTTCCCAGAGCCTGCATTCGGAGGCTGTTTCCTGCAGCAGCAGCATCTTGGGAAGAGTTCAGCACCATGTCGGTCACTGCATTCATTCACCCCACACTTCAGCAAAGTGAGGCTTTCCTTGCCTTTAGGATTTTAAAAGAATGGGGAGAGGCAGGAAGAAAATGAACAGAAAGTTTCAATGCTTAATTGCCTGTTTGGAGAGGGTCAGAGGTGAGGATCATCCCCATGTCCTACAAAGAGTATCTGGCAGTCCAATACACTTCAGGCTTTGTAAACTACCACAATACAAAAAAAAGCTTATCAGGACACAAAAAGCATTTTCATGCAACAGTTCAGACTCAGAAAACCTATAACATGAGGAAATAAAACACTTGTACAGGCCAGTAACCTACTGGAAACCAAATTTTCCTTGTAGGCAATATTGGTAAGGCTCTACATTTTGTTGCTTTGCATTTTGTGTGGTTGGAGGGTTGCTTTGTGTTTTGTTTTGTGGTTTGTTTGGGTCTTTTAAAAATTATTACTACCCTGAAGAAGGCCATGTCACAGCACGCTGCCAACAAGGAAAGCAAACAAGCTGATCCAACAGCAGCACAGGGTACCTCAATGGCATTTGGCAGCAGAGAAAGGCAGAGTCCTTTACAAACAGTAATGAATTAACTTTTACAGGGCATCCAAGGAAGTGGAGGAGAGGGCTACGTGACACAAAGGCAGCAACTATTGCCAATTTTTTTTCCCCTCAAAAGGTAAGTCAGGAACAGTTTTACCTGAACACTTAGCTGCTACATGGGATTTTGATATTTGAGGTCTTGCCATACTCTGTCGCTCAGAGGCCATTTTGGCTTTATATTTGCCTTCTGTGACATAGCTACACCAATACTGAAATTGGCTTTTTCAGAGGATTTCCAGGAAAACAAGCCAGTGCTATACTGAAGCAAAACACAAGGAAAGAAGCCTATTTCATAGAATGGTTTGGATTGGAAGGGACCTTAAAGATCATCTAGTTCCAATCCCCCTGCCATCAGCAGGGACACCTTCCACTAGACCAGGTTGCTCAAAGCCTTTATTATTTATATAATAAAAATACTGGCTTTGGATCCTGCTTGTTTCTAGGAAAATGGTTTCAAGTCTTCTGAAGTGGTGGGAAAGGGTTAGCGAAAAAGAAAATAAAGAGATAAAAAAGATTGAAGCCACACCCCTATGCTCAAAGTTGCCATTGGACACACTCAGGTCAAAGCCAGCAAGCTGCAGCAGCCACCATTCACGTGGCTTTAGCAGTTTTGGGCTTTGCTGCTAAACTAGAAATGTCATAACTAGCCTGTCATGGTACTACACCAACCACCTCATGGTACTACACCAACTGTCAGCTAGACACTGCTAATCTTCGAAGGCACAGGAGAACCTCACGCTTCTGCAACAGAGAAATATATAAATACACATCCAGAAAGAGCTGCTTGCCACGAGAGCACCCACTTCCTGACCTTGCTATGGATGCAAATCCTGCAGAGCATCAGTTTAGGGTGAGCCACACACATAAAATCCAGGGATGCTCAGAGAAGCCTGATCACTGGTGCGCTAATTGAGGGCTGAGGAAGCCTAGGGTTATTTAATCAAATGGTTCCCAACACAGACTCCTCTCCTCCAAACAACATGTTTTTATGTTCTCCAAAACAGACACAGCATCAAAACAAGCCAAAGTCTCTGAACACACGAAATACATGCCACAGGCAGCTGGGCAGCTTTGGCACCTCAAAGAGAAACTGAGCAAGGATTGAACAAAGCAACCTTCCACACAGAGTTGACTCTGCCTTACTGGTTGTCTCCAGCCTTCCACTGCATCAAGCTTATCTACTGCAAGAGATGCTGAGCTCTCCCAGAGTGCTGAGCTACTCATCCACAGCACTTCTTACTCTCCAGCAGTGCTGTCAGCTCACACCCAACAGGCTCAGAAAACTTTTGCAC